CAAGAATCCACAATTGCTGGCTTGTGATATTGCACGTCACTCAAAGGGGCTTTCCTGAATACTTCTAAGTAGTCTACAACCCTCGATCCATTAGGATCATTTTTGGTAACCCCACGCTGGCCACGTTATGGTGCTCGACTAACCCGCTCATTGTCGTCGCCCGTGTAGTCGGCACGGCTGTCATCTCCTCCAAATGTGATAGGTATTATTTCACTATTACAGTGTGTTTAATACTTCCCATTGGAAGGACTCCATGGCGTCGAACTCAGTTACAAACTTCATAACAAATTAATCCTGCATCGAGATTTCGCTAACTGCCTCCATTCTATGGGTTGCTCGACGTGATTTTAAGACGTCTGACTTTGCATATTATATGGCAGCGCGCAAATAATCGAGTGTTATAGTTACGAAATATCAAAAGACGGAGGGGCTGTTTGAGTGGTTCCTTAAAACGACCTACTGTGTCTTTCTGGGGTTTGGCCTGTTCAGGAAAAAGATAACTAGCCCAGGAAGAAATCTCATAATATGCTGGAGATTCACTAGTCGCGAATATGCAAGCAAGTAGTGCGTAGGCTTAAGAGCATATAACAGCTCATAATGACAGGTTCAGCAGTCATTACCACCGCACATTTTTCGATCGGATAACTGGGATCCAGTAAATACACCTGCTGGTGGACAGCAGGAGGTAGATCTGTTTCACTTATCGGAGACACGGAATGCGGACAGCTCCCAAGTAACAAGCATCTCTGGACAGTGAGGTTAGCGGCCAACGGCGCCAAGTATTTTCTGACCATCCCGATCGTCATCAGCTAAAATAAAAAATAGAAAAATGAAAATGGAAGATGTACCATGGCTGTGGCCATCTACGGGAATATTGGTGCCATGACACTTTTGACCAGGTGGTCCAACATGCATATCCTTGAAGCCCAATGAAGGAAGCCTCGGTGGCAGGCCACCTAAACAGGTGGGAACTATCCTCCGAGCACTTCGACACCATTCTTTCCTTAAGGACTGCGCCTGTCTTTAACATGAATTTTGGCTGAGGGAGCAACCGTCTCGAGAAAAGAATAGCAGTTTAGGTATGCCATCCCGGCCTACGTAAATCCGTTGGCCGGTCAACCATAGCCTTACTGCGGCTCGCCCGTTGTCATCAGATACAATCCTATTTCCAACTGTTGAACAGATGAGTTCCTCACTAGTGAGGCCTTCAAGCCAATTTCATGGAGTACACTTTTTTCTTTGACTGGTGTTAGAGAACAATAATTAAATCCTGGACAACCCATAAAATGACAGTCCCCAGAGAGCAGAACGGGTTTAAATATACAATTAAAACCGTTCAGCTGTAAAAGACTAACTTTACATAAAAATGGCAACTTCGAAAACCTTGTAGTTTCGGCGAACTCAATTTCGGCGTGTCAATAGCCTGCGGCCCCAGCTGCCGTGCCACCCGGAGGAAGCACGAGTGCTGGGATAGTGCCAAGTTACCCAAGCCTGGACAGGGGAAGTCGAGGGGCAGATGTTGGGTTCGAATCACGAACCCTCTGGCCAGTAAATTCGCGCTCCAACCACTTGAGCCATTTC